CGCAATCGCAGGCACACCGGAAGCTCACAACAGGAGAAGAAGGACGAAGACACAGCAGTGAATGCCTGAAATGAAGCAAGAAACAGCACTCTAAGCAGCCTTTCCTGAAATGTGCTGCTGCTCCAGAAATAGCCACAAGATGGCAGCAAAGGATCACAAATACAGTGGCGTGAACCTCACAGCGCACAGAGAAGGGATTGCTGATCCATCCTCAGGCCTGGAGCAGCAGACACCGCCAATCTGAGGCCGACAGCATGGAACACAGGCTGACAGGAAACTGCCGGCATACCCGGGCGGGGAAGCACCATGGAAACCTGCAGGGGAAATCCTGACAGACTGAAGCACTCTGACCGGGGAAGGATTTCCTAACACAGCACGACGCAACGCAGGGAAACATGCAAGGCAGTGTCCCGGCAGGCCAGGGCTGACGATACCTCATTGCCCAGGCAAGTAACCGATAAGGAGACCACAAAGCGGACGACCAAGCCAAGCAGACAATGGAAAACGGCTGCACTCACAGAAATGGCAGGAAAGACTCATCACACACAACATCACTGTCAGTGGCTGATGGTGCAGAGCCACACCCGGGCACCACCATGCACACACACATGTAGGAAAACAGCCGGTGGCATGTGTGCTTGGAGAAAGCACCTCTCTGCAAACACTGGGACAGGGAGCTGCTCCCTGCAGCCTGCAGAAAGCGGCAATGCAGCAGGCAAGGCCAGCAACACAGATGCCCAGTACTCATTTGCCTCCTTTCCTGGAGAGTCAAGGCCACAAGGAAGGTAGGTGCCCTGGATGAAATCAGACACATGAACCAGGGGAAAAAATCCAGCGAAGCAAGCGGAAAAACCAGAAGGAAGACAAGCCGGAGGCAGCACTGAAAGCAGCGTTCCTTTGCCAAGGCACGGAAATCCCTCACCACATGCACACGTGGCAGACAACCTATACCAGTTTCACAAACACAGTTGGCCCGTGACATCACAGCACACACGTCATGCAGGCACAATCCCCAAACAGCTGTCATGGGGCACCTCAGACTGCATGAGAGGCATTGGAGGTCCCAGAAGAGAGAAAGACAGTTGTCAGGTCAAGGGAAATCTGCGAAAGGAATCAGTAGGGTCTATGAAGAAAAACAGGACTCAGGGAAGGGCTCACAGTGCTCACTTAGCAGACATCCTAAGCACAGCAAAACTCCGATATCCAAAACACACCTGGCATAGCAGGAAACAATAACAGACCCAACGCTCACAGCAGCTGAGCTACTTGCAGGAAGGCACGCAGGAAAACAGGGAGGGAGGGAGGGAGGGAGGGAGGGAGGAAAGAAGGAAGGAAGGAAGGAAGGAAGGAAGGAAGGAAGGAAGGAAGGAAGGAAGGAAGGAAGGAAAGAAAGCATGTCATAGGCACCCTTCAGAATGTCCTCGACACGTCAAGGCACTAAGAAAGGGCAATGGCACAGCACCAGCTCCCCACCACTGCTGAAATACTGCGCCATCCCACTGACAGCCACCAGACGGCAGCAGAGGGACAAAAGCAACAGCCAGAAACGTGGAAGCGCAGCAGAGCCTAGACATTGCAAGCAACCCTCCAACAGCGCACAGGAGACGATGTGAGTTTCAAGCTGGAAGCGCACATTGCTGGCTTATGGGAAAAGAGTCACAGGGCAACATCGCCAAGTGCCATGGGAACATGCAGGGCAAGCCATGAACTACCAATGACATCAGCAATCATAGGGAAGCCCTGCCAAGAAATGCATAAACAGGCATGCTTGCACAACACAGGGACACATGAGCATCCTCCAACATGCAGAGTAACGCACACAAATGAAACCATAGGGTGGGAACGTTGGTTCCCTTTTCGCAGTAGGTTCCACCACACGACCCATGCAGACGCTGCCAGGTGGGGGCCACGTCCGGGGACGAAATTGACGAGCGAACGACACTCACTCAGATCCATCAAAATTTATCTCAGCTCCAAGGAAAACCCAAAAAAACCGCAAGGGCAGACCGGCACCTCAAAATGAAATGGAACTTAGCGGTGGGAGCAACAGGCTGCATTCGGCAGCGACCAGCGGCGCTAATTTGTGTGATGATGGCTGTGAATCCGAGCGGCCGGACTCGGCTGGCCATACGCATAAAATACCGTGCACTTTTTTGCGTGCCTTTTTATCCCCCTCGGATGCGCGCCTGACTTGCGGCTTTTCAACCCTAGGTTGCATACACGGAGGCGGGGGCGCGAGCGTTTTCTTCTC